ACTTGGCTCCTGCCCCACTTGTGCCGGCGTTTCCCGGGTGACAGCTGCGGAGGCCGGCGGTCCCCGCGGTGAGCAGAGGCAGCTGCCGCAGCCCTGGCACCGCGGCCCGGTGACTCAGCCCGCTCGTGGTGCTCGGCCCCGCCGGCCCGGCCCCGCCGCCCCTCTCGGAACGGGCACAAGCAGCGCCCGCGTCCTGCCGCAGCTTCAGCTTCCCTCCCCAGACCCTGCTGCTCTGCTGGAAGGACCTGCAGCTGATCCCGGCAGCCGCTCCGTGCTTTCTGGGCATTCCTCCGCTCGCTTTATGATCTCAGGAGCTCCCTGAATTATCTGCCGCCTTCAATCACACACTGCACAGCTGGCAGGCCCCGCACTCGCTCTCTGCTTGGCAAGACCATTACTCTGAGTGCTATTTTATTTTTTCTTGGTCTGCATATGCCCAGAAGTGCTAAGGTTTTAAAGTGTTCTTCTCTAGGGTATCTGTACTTGGAGAAAAAAAAAAAAAAGGCTCATGCACACCATGTTTTTCCAAATCTAAGCCAAGCAAGTGCTGTATTTTATAATGTTTTGGTCATGGAAAGCAGCAGATGATGATATTTTATTTTGGTGTTGATTTACTTTCCAATTATTCAGGTTGCTTAGTCTCACTTCACATATTTTTTTTTTTTAATTTTTCTTTCCTACAGGCCTTTTTTGCAAGTGTAAATAATAGTGACTGTGCTCTCATTGTGCTTCAATGGGAAGGATTTTGCAGGAGCCTAAAATCTCTACATCTTACTGTGCTTGGACTTTTTAATAAACTGATTGATATTTTGAGATATTTTCTTTTCTGTGTCAATTCTTTGTTACCTGTTGATAAAACAAATTGCTCACCATTTTTCTGGGGAGATTTCCTGATTTAGGTTTGTAGGTGTGTCATTTTCAGACTGTCTGTAGGTGTGCAAGCATCCCAGAAGTTTTACCCCAAGGCTCACACTGGCCATAGATTGCTCACAGAAATGTTTTCTTCTCCTCCTGGGGAGTTTCAACAGTTTATTCATTCATTCCAAATATTTATGAAGAGGTTCTCAGTGCTGGCGACAGAAGCAGCCTTTTGAATAAGGGGAACACAGGGGTCCCGTAGCAGCAGCCACTGATGACTTTTTAATGTGTTGTGTTTCATGTGGCTTGAGACTGAGAAAACAGGCGAGGGCTCCTTGCCTTGAAGCTGGCTGTGTTAAAATCCTCCTCAAAAATTATTCCCAAATCACAGGGAAGTGTTGCTGGGGGTGTCATTTAATCCAATGTGAAGGCTAGGGCCATGCTCCTGGGTATCCCTCACCATGCCAGGGGGTAAAGATGCCAGCACAGGGGGACAGGCAGCCATCACCATCAGTGCTTCCTCCCCTCAGTGCACCAAAATCAAGCTGTTTTCACCCACCCAGGTCACACTGGTTCAGCCAATCTTTGCCAAAGCTGTGGAAGAGGGCTTCTTTCCTCCAGAAAGGACACACAGTACCAAAGTGCGTTTTCCCAGTAGCATGAATCCCGTGGGTGATTCCCCAGGGCCACAGAAGTCCCAGAGGACACGGTGTGTCACCTCCCATGGAAAGGTGGCAAGAGGGATGCAGCTGCAGCCTCATCTCTGAATTGCCAGTGCTACTAGGGAAGTGCTATTTTGGGATATCACCTCATCTTCTTGTCCAAGCACAAAATTGTGGGTGGTGCTGTGGAGCTTCCCTCCAGATGTGATGGGGCTGACCAACCCCAAGCTCAAGTCCCCAAATGCTTTGCCATTACTCCTTCCTTTTAGTGGTAGGAAGGCAAATCTTGCAGTGCAAGAATTTGCAGGAAAACAGGTTTGAAGGCATGTCAGGGGTGGAGAGCCCACCTGGGGAGTTTGACCCTGGGGCGTTTTGCAGGGTTATTGCAGCAACAGGAGGTCCCTGAAATGCAGAGCTGTCAGAGGACATCTGTCAGCAAGTGGGTACAAGAGAGATTTCCCCAAAGGTGTTTTCCTGTTTGTTATTTTCTCTGCACACAGGTGACTTGGCACTTGCATTTTAATTCCCTTAGTGGCCAGCAGCACTGGAACTCCAGCACTCAGCCATTAGCTCTTGTAATGGGATGGTATTGGAGAATACATAAAAACAGGTAATTGCATAAATGGCATTTCTGGATGCCAGCAAGTGCCTCAGACCCTTGAGGAGTGACATTTTACAGGAGTGGATGGGAGAAAAACAGCAATCACAGCACAAACCCCAAATCCATAGTGTTTCTGAGAGGAGCCTGGGAGGCAACAATAATTTCCTGAGTTTTCTGTCCAGTTGGGAGCTCTGGCTGAACTCAGCACTGCCAGGAAACTATACAGTGCATTTTAGTAATTAATGGCACTTTTCCTGCCTGGCACATCAAACCACAGAGGGCATTAGAGCCTTCATGGCATCTCTGCTCTTGGCAGCAAAAAGAACAAACAAGCAAAGCTGCATCAGGAGTGGATGGGTGGCTTGGGCAGAGAGAGAGGGAGAGAGAGGTGTCTGCGTGTGGCTCAGGGCTCTCTCTGCACTCACAGGACACAGCAGCCACCCCACCACCCTCTGAAAAACATGTGGTGACCTCCTCCAGGCATCCCCCTCAAATAAGCTCACTCCTGCACGACCTCAGAACCTATCTGCAGTTTTCTGTGGCTGAGGAACATGGTGTGTAAAGTTGATCCTCTGCTCCAAGGTTCTGCGAGGCAATGGCATGCAGAAGTACAGGGTTAAAAAATGCCTCTGGAACTGGTGGCTGGGAACCATAAATCCCTTCCAGACAGTCCTTAGGCACATCAGGAGATGAGCAAGCAAAAGCAACTGGAATTTATAAACTTGCATAATTAATTATTCTTTGCAAGGAGAACAAACATTCCCAGGTTCCAGCTCTCTTAGGGCCTTTGACAATTGGGCTTCTTCCTGTAAATAATGTTATGTAAGTTTATACATTTCAGTTAGTGCTTGTTCTAGCCTCTTCACAGCCCAAGGATGTTTTCACTCCAGTTTATTATTTCAGCTGTGGACAGATCATTTTTCCCTGGTGCATCTATAATGGGATTTAAATTAAGATGCTTGCAAACAGTGTAGCAGTGGTGAAATAGTGTCTGGAAAACATTGGTACATACCCAGGGAGAACGCAAGAAAGAAATTTACATTGCAACACTGGCCAAAGTGTCTGCACCCTTCCCTGTGGGGCAGGACAGGATTTCTCTGTCTGAAGACACAACCTGTGAAGGACCAGTGCTGTACCTGGGCTGCTGGAGGCATGGTGTAAGGCCATGGATGTTTTTATTCCAGAGGAAGGGAACACCTTTGAGTCATCCAACAGGCCTGTAACTGCAGCGTGCTGCAATCAGAGCAGCTGAAATGCTTAACCCCAACAGCTTCATCTCTGGCCATTGCAAATTAGTACAGCTCCATTAACTCCAGAGGACTATTTACATGGGGGAGGTTAAATGTGTACAGGATCAGGCACAAAACCTGCAGTGATTCCACACATGGGGCAGTGGTTTGCTAATTTGCAAGGCTAGATCTCATCTCTGCTGGTTATTGATGTTTTATTTATTTATAGTAAGCACATCCACGTCAGGGGGATTTCTCCCTCAAGTGGCATAAGGAAAACCCTTCCTCTACTCGGATTATGTTGCTGAGCCCAGTCCTTAATGCAGGAGATACCTTCCCTCCATGCCATTCTTCAGTAACCTGTAGCTATGAGGCTGGATATTAAAACTTAATATGTGGATTATTTCATTTCCCTTTGTCCTGTTTTTTATTTCTGAAGTTTATCTGCAGATCCTACAATAACGGGAGAAAAGCTCTGTGGTCTCCTTCTTTGATTTGTTGTAATTCTGATGCGCTGGAGGCCACATCCCGCACACCGGGTGGGCTGGACAGGAATGAGTGTAAGTCAGCACTGAGGCATGGCAAATAGCCCGTGGCCTCTGGGGTGGCTTTTATGAGCACAAATCCACCTGAAATGGTTACAGGAGAACGGCAGGTCCTGGGGGAAACCAGGTGAGTCAGGAGCTCCTGGGGGAAGCCATGGGCAGCTGGATGGTGCGGGGCAGGGAGCTGGGAGTGAGGCCCCAGGGTGCTCTGCAAGCTGGGCACCAACGTGCTGGGCAGGTCCCTGCACCCAGGGCTTGTAACTGCTTGTAACTGCTGTCCTGACAGAGAGTCCAGAGAGCTGGCACAAATCCCCTCCTGGACAGAGCCTCAGGAGTGCCTTGGAGGGTGCTCTGAAACAGCCCAGGTACGTCCCACCCCAACACTGCTGCCATAAAAATGAGCCCAAGCCAGGGCCACTCTCTTGAGCCTGGTTTTGGTGACCCTTCTGCCCCTGCGCCCAAAGAAGGAGCCCACTGCCAGGAGCACCAGCCCCAGGCCTGGTGGCAAAACACTCTGTGCCTCTGCCACTGGTGTGCAGCTCCCATGAGCTGAGCAGGATTTCACTGTGGCAGCAGCTGTGCCCAAAGCAGAGAACTTTGCCCAAGGTTGGGAGTGTCTTGGAAAACCTCCTGCACTCAGTGTGGGCACAGTTTCCTTGGCCACCCTGAATCAGCCAGCCTGGATGCCAGCACCCTCCCAGACAGAGGACTGGTTTTAATTGGAGTTACCCAAGCTGGCACTGTGACAGTCCAAGGGAGCCTCATCCAGGAGGTATCTGAAATCAAGATGGTTTGCAAAAATTTAAATGACATGGAGGACTGGCAGCTTTCCCTCATCTGGGAGTTTGCTGGCGCTTAAAACTGCATCTGCTAAAAAGTAAAAGCCAGGCAGAAGGGGTTTAGCTGAAGTGGGTCCAGTACAATTTTTCCTAGGTGTAAACTTTGACTCTTCACCTTTGAAGAGTCTTGGCTGCAGCTTCTTCAGTTTTGCAGCTCTTCAAGTCTTGCTGCAGAATGCTGTGGGATGCCTCTGAACAGAGGTAAGGAGAGGTGCAAGGAACTCATGTTTCTGGGACACAAGAAAAAGATGGTTTGTATAGAGCAGGTGCCTTTTTGTTTTTTTCAAAAATAATTGTTGTCTGGTTTCTGCTGCTATAGAAATTGAATTTCAAGTGGATTCTTTTCCATCCTCTCGTGTCCTGCACTCTGCACTGCTGTGCCTGCCTTGTGTCTGCAAGGAAAAGGAGCCCCACGTGGAGGCAAAGAGTGTTAGTTACTGCAGCCTGTGTCTGAAAAAGGCAGGTACATCCTCCCAGAGCAGGGAAACTGATTTTAATCCAAGCAGTGCAGGAAGTAATTATTCTTGGCAAATGTAAATCAATATCAGCACAGTGCAGCTCTGCCCACAGCTTTCAAATGGCAGCACACAACGAAACAGGGGCAACTTTCTTTCCACAATCTCTGTCCTGTCCTGCATTGCCTGCAAGAGCAAAGCTGCAATGCTCCAGAGAAAAAAAGTGGTGTTCTGAAGCACGTGTGCCAATCTCTTCAACTTAAGTGGTTTTGCCAAAGCTGAACCTGCCAGCCACAGCTCCCCCATCTCACCAAGGTACAAAAGCAAAGGGAAGCGGAGAAGAAGAGCTCTGTAGCACTTGCTGTGCTGGTTGGCCTGCGTGTGGCAGGGGCAGAAGGTGGGGAAATAACTGTGTGAGGAGACCACTGAAATGTTGTGCTTGTGTTGCTGGCAAGCCTTGCTGACAGACTCTGCCTACCCTGGGAGAGGCTCTTCACTTGCCTGAATTCCAGGCTCAAACATTTGGGTGGGAAAAAACAGGTTCATTCCTGGAGGAACTGAGATGATCCAGCTTGAATTGCATGTCAGCTTTACTTTTTTTTTTTTCCTTATTGCTGCTGAAGTGCTTGCACACCACAGGAGAAATCTTTAGTCTGTTGTCATTATTTAAATTCTAACCTCTTATCTCCTGTTCTTATCCTCTGGTCACAGAAGCATGCTCGGGTTACTCCCGTGCTTTCCAGGTGTCCTCTAGCCATACCGACCTGTCCACAAAAATCAGGCAGATTGGAATCCTGGATAAGCTTTGGTCCAGTACAGAAAATTAATTCCAGCTGTCCTGGCCTTATGGAAGGGTTTTGATTCAGGAGAGCCAAGTGAGTGCCCACAGGTGTGGAGGAGGTGTTTCAGTGCCTGTGTGCCTGCAGCGCTTTCAGCACAGGGGGGTGGGTGATCATTTTGGAGCAAGGGCCGAGAGATGCATGTTCTGGACACAGTGTGAGAGCTCTGGGACAAGCACTTCCACAATGTCAGCGACTGCCAGCCACGCCAGACTCAGGGAAAGGAGCTACTCCGTGTTTCTGCGGAGCTGGGTGCTGCTCCCCCGTGCTGAGCTGCCCTGGGGGACAAGCCAGCCCCGTTCCCAGGGGTGGCTGCAGGCAGATACCCGGGAATCCCGACAACAGGCAGGGAAATTCCTGTGCCCTCTGCTTTCCCGTGGCTGGGGGAGGACGTGCCGGCAGCCACCGCGAAGGCTCCGGGAGTGCTGGGATGTGGCTCCCCCGGGAATGCAGCACATGGCCCTGGGGCGATGGCCCACAGCCACAGCCCTTCTGTCAGCGCCTTGGCTCTGCTTTGCTGCAGGGACAGCGAGATAACCTTGCAGATTTTATAACCTGAATCTCGTTCCTACTTCTCCTTTGCTCCTGGCAACGTACCAATTATTAATTAACAGGCAAATGCTAGAGAAAAGGCCAGTGTACATAGCTCGTTCCCGCTGATGTGAACGCAGCAGTCCCCAGGTCAGCTTTTATTACAGTGAACTCAAATACTGTGAATAAACAGCCTGGGGGAAAAAAAATTAAAAAAGAAAAAAAGAAAAAAAGAAAAAAAGGTTTAAAACCCCACAATGATTTTGATACAAAATGAGAGTTGAATCTTTTTAAAAAGATTCTATTTTCTGGCTGTTGTGCATGCTACCCTACCTATGGAAAAACTCGGGCAATGAGAATTTGTGTCACCAAGTGATGTGACACCGATGCCCTGAGCACACAGCTTCCCAGAACCCAGCTCCCAGGAAATGTTTGGTGCTCTGCAGCTCCCTGACAAGGGCTGTACACTGCATCTCATTGTTTGCATCATGATGCTGAGTGAAGGTGGTGCTTTTGAATACGCAGGCAAAAATGTTATTCCAGATTCAGATCAAATTAAAGCTGCTGCAGTCAAAATTATTTGCTCACTTTCTCAGGAGAGGGAACAAAAAAGTGCAATGATTTACTGCTGTGTCTGTCACAAAACTTGGCTTTACAGACCTGAAACATGAAAACCCTGCTTCTTCTTCCATGGAAGCAAACTGCACAACAACTTTAACCACAACAACTTTAACCTTTTCCAGGCCTCCCTTGGTTTCACCCCGGCACAAGCAGCCGTCCAGGAGAGGTTCTACATCTGTGCTGAGATGTGGTCCCTGCTGTCCTGCCCCATCCAGGACCTGGTAATTGACAGCACCAGGTAAGAAACATTCCGGGGCTTAGGGCTTTGCCTGGTGTGATGTATGGATTTGGATCCAGGGAAGGCTGAATGTCCTGCTTGGGAGAGCCCCGGCCTCACCTCCCCTGGGGCTTTTAGGGCACAGCAGGGGCATCACAGTCAGGAGTAGTTTGAAATGTGCTGTGGGCAATGGCAGTGCTGGTTCTGGGTATTTTCCTTCTTTCAGTCCACTTTTGAGGCCCGGCTGCAGAGTGGATCAAGGAATACATTGGGATTAAAACACCTCCATCCATGAAGGTTTCCAAAGACAGCCCCATGACCAGCTTTTTTCAGTTGATAACAAAACATATCATTATGAGGTCTCCTGTGCGGTGGAGCCAAGCTCCTGGCTGCCAGACACTCAATTCTCCTTTCAAACCCTCCTGTTACTTAATGGACAATGATGTTTGCCGATTTAGGGTAATTCCTCCCTTTACTGTAATCTTCCTGCTCTGATGAAAAGGACAGCTTTACTCAAACGTGAAGTACATATATAAATATTTGAAAAGGGATGAAATATGCAACGTCTCTACCAATGCACTGTGAATGAGGACGTTTCTTCCAGACTCCTGAGGAAAGATTTTAGAGCAGCTCCAAGAGACTTGCAGGTTTCCTGTTGGCATCCAATATTTAACACAGAGTATGGGGAGCTGGGGATGTGCAGTGGGAACCGATGCTGTTTCCCAAACTTGCTGTGTTTAGGGCTGCGCACACCAGCTATTGAATACTGGTGAAAACGAGTGCTGTACAATGGACGTGAATAACCTGTATTTCCATGGATCACAGGGACATTCTTACCACTCCCTTTGCAATGAAAACAATTTTTAAGTGATCGTGCCAAGTGACATTGAGACAATTCCTTTGGTTGGGCCTCTCCTTATACTGGATTGAGAATGCAGGTGGTAAAAATAGAAACAAATGGCATGTGTTCAGTTTCATCCCGTGTAGGACAAAAAGGCTGAGAGGTTCAGTCTGTGGGAACTGTAAATCTGCTGGTTGCTGTTGACCGGTCCACGACAAGATGTGCCCTCTTTCCTGCAGCAGCACACTTTTCTATGTTTTATTCCAGTAAGCATCCTGGGTTCCTTAGAGTTTCCTTTGGTTTATTTCCACAGGGACGTCTGGCTAGGATTTGTAGGCTCATCTACCTACCAAGTAAGCAAACAACAACAACAAAAGAGGTTACTAATGAATGATTCATGCATGATTTAGTATCAGCACTGAAGGGCGAATTTCCGAAATCGGTATTTCTCACAAACTTCTTAACTAAGGGAAGCCTTGACAGCCTAAACGACCCCTCTGCTTCTCCCTCCTGGACTCAGCAACAAAACCTTTGAAGACTTCCACGAAAAGCTGAGTCAGGTGCAAAGAAGAATGTTTCTTTCAAAGAAGAAACATTAAAAAGTGGCGTGCCACTGCATTTTTCGGCAGGGCTGAGAGGTTTTCCTCTTTCTCTTGGTGCCGTGGAGAAAAAAAAAAAAAAGAGGGAAAATCATCGTCCTAAGGGAATGGCCGGCGTCCCGCGGTGAGCACAGGCGGACACAGCGCCCGCTGCCAGCACACCAGGGCTGGCACAGGAGCCAGGTGTCACCCGGGGCCACCCCCAGGAGGAGGGTGCCTGCTCGGGGGCCGTTTCCACAGGTAGGGAGCGGCACCTGGCCCGGCTGGAAGGCGATCGGCGGCAACGCGGCGGAGTCTGCCGCCTTCCCCTGGCTCCTGCAGTAATACAAACACCTTTTCTGAGGTAAATACCTTCCAGCTCTA